GGTCCAAGCAGCACCTTGTGAAATCGTAACTCGTAACTCGTAACGCGATGATCACACTGTCGTCCGAATTTTCCCAGAAAGAACAAAACAACTGCGAGTAACATCCGTTGCAATTCTACGCTACAACGAGACGTGTTGCCGTTGTAATTTCATAATATTTCTGGAATGTATTTATATTATTTGAAAACATTTCATCAAACTGGAGCAAATCCAGGATGGAATTTCCATGTGGTAAATCGAAGGAATATGAAATTTCTTGAAAAGAAGACAAGTTTGAAATTGAAGCGAGAAATAAAAATATCATACGTGTATAAAGGTAGGGTGGTTCGAGCGACAGCGAAATGTATTCGCGAAACCGTTTAAATCCAAAAAATCGCACAAGTCCGCTCGAAAAGATGTTTATCTCGCCGAATGGCAGCTGCTGATGGAACCGTTACTTGTGTTTCATTCGGTTTCGGAACTCTCGCCAATCGTATCGAAGCTCCTCCTTTCTTTTCCCCTTAATTGTCTTGTTTTTTCTCGGCACTCTCTTGTATACAAAGCTAACGTCTACTTACTTAACATTGTGATTTTACTGCGTTTACATTTACCATTTTTGTCCTCTTTTTGTTTTTGTTAAATGTTTCGTTTAACCGGCCGTTCACTCGCTTAACGTCTAATCTGTTTTGTTGCCTCGCACGATACGCGTGTACGTGTTTAGTTTGTACATATGTATCTACGTGCATCGAGAACGCGCGCATCGTGCAACACGATCGTCGTCCAGATCATCGGCCGCGAACCCTAACAGAGTATTAACAACGGTATGTCGATTCGTAACGTTAAGTTACCAATTATTACTTTATAATGCGTTGTGTCGTTGTCTCTGAATAAGTCGAGTCGGTTTTCTCCTTTAACGAATCACCACGACCCCGGTATAGCCTCCCTTTTCCGGATGCTCGAAGAACTGTTGCGTACCGTGCCGTGCCGTATTCCAGACTTCCAGTCGATTAACCAACCACTCTTTGATAGAGTCAAATTAAAATTGAACACACTCGGGAGGCAAAGGTTCTTCGAGGCTCTGGGAAATACGATTACATTTCGCGATTTCATATTTTCCCAATTTTTTCTTACGTTACACGCGGGATTGCGGGTAATACGCGAGATTATGTACACGGAGAAGAAAACGTTACGTCTCTGTCGTTAAATCTTAACGTTTCGGCGCATTTCGTAACTAACGCGGTTCTATTATTCGCGTATTTTTTGTCTCTTTAAGTGCTCGTCTCCGATAATTAAATACCTAAGCAAGGTTCGGTAAATACTCTTTATATACGATACGTGGACGCGTGTCTCGTTGCGACGACGAGTCAGTTGTTGTACTTGTACCGTTTTCGAGCCGAGTGATTACAAATAAAACGATCGCCATTCGCATTCGTAATTCGAGTAAATTGACCGAGATTTTAACGTCGAGAGGGAATCCCTTTACTCGATTCTTTTCTTTACGGCAATTTCTTCGACGACTCCCTCGAAACGAGACACGTGTCGCGATATATTTTTTTCAATTCTCTTAATTTTTTTTTCAATTTCTTTTCTTACGTTTTTAATCCCCCCGGATTAAAGTCTATGAAACACGAATTAAGTAGATTTAAGTATATTTGTTTGTATCACTTGCCACGTGCCGTGTACAGGCTTAGGGTGGCTTTAGGGAAAGGAAGCGAAGGAATAGCGCGATAAGTCGCCTAGAATCCTTTAACTTGAGACGCTTGTGCAAAGGTCCAAGTTGGACTATGTTTTAAACAGAGAATTAAGGAGCTCGAGGACAGACGGATCGCACACGTTACCTCCAACAAGAGATAGTATCGAGTCTCGAGAGTATTTACGCGATCGACGCTCGTCGATTTTCAACGAATCGAAAGATTCTCATTTCTCCTCGCTGCGGAATTTCCAATTAGCTGTTTTAAAGAGACGATTTATTTATCGTCGCATTGCATCGCATCGCATCGCATCGCATCGCATCGCATCGCATCGCATCGCATCGCATCGCATCGCCTGCCTCGAAAGATATCTGTTTAGTTTTGCACGCGTACTCGTGACTATTCGCGGATAGATCGATGGTTTTTCTTGTGCTCGTGGCAATGAAAAATCGTCGGCGATTGGCCTGCTTACCCAAATTCGACGAATTATCAACCTTGCGTTAAATAATTCGCCGTGAAAATGATGTTTAATCGAATGAAACCGAACCGAACCGAACGATTCGTTGGTTTTTACAAGAACTCGCAGCAAAGAAACTGTGGTAAACCGCGCCGGTCGTTAACGACGTTTCGATGGACGTATAGAGGTAGCAAAGGTACGCGAAGCTAGAATTTGCGTGTAGCGCTCATACGTTACAATATGAAACGTAAGAGAAAAGAAACCAAATCGGACTATTCGCGTGGTAACGTTAACATCGACTAGACAACGCGACGACCAATATTCATGCTGATCGCATCGAGAAGCAACAACGACACATGACATTAATCATCGATAATAGTAGGGACGATAGCAAAGTATTTCTTAGTTTTTTTTTTTCTTGCATTTTATCCTTTTAGCACGCATATACGTGCGTCGATTGAGTAACTGGTGATTTTAAATAGACAACATCGAGCATGGGATCACACCGAACAGGGATATCGAAAGAGAGAAAGTTGCTACGATCAAAAGACGAGAGAAAGTAGTAAGCTGCCTGCTAGATAGTTACGTGGTCGAAGTTCGAAGTTGACGGAATAGTTTGATGTCGAGTCGGACGCTTTCCTTCTATTAGTAGCAACAGTGAGAGAGAAATCGCTTTCGAAAATGACACCTGTATCCGATCGTTTGAATTTTCAACGTCCCTTCGAAGCATCTATTCACCGACTCTTGCACTCGCGCTTCGTTACAAGTTATGTATACGTTTATATTTATATCGAAAACTTGACAAGAAACAAAAATGTACGAGTTTGTATTCTCGCTAGGATCAATATTTATATATATAACGTGTACTCGTATATACAAGGTGTATCTGGACGGGTGATACAACCGAGTAGGGGATGCGTCCAGGAAAACATTGCTTTTACCAATTTCCTCGATAATGTAAATATAAATTGGTGAAATTGTAAATAAGTATAGCTCGGATATAGTCGAATGTATTTGTTTGCGACACAACTTGAACTCAATTGTCTACAAAACTTGGCTTATTACGCTAAAATTTCATCCTTTTTTCTTTGTTTTCTTTACTTTTACACGTAGAATCAGCGTCTTCTAGGTTCTACCGCCCGTCCTGCCACACCCTCTGTATATGTATATGTATATATTCATATCTTTGGGTTAATTATTCAGTAATTGACTTGAAGTGTGTATCGATTAGATTGTACAGGAGAAGCTAAATTTTTGAGGAAATTTCTTAGATTGGATTGGATTGGATTAGTGATGGAACGCTGGATAAGGAAGGAAGGGTATAGTTGAGTTTTAAGGGTGGTGAGGATGACGACATAGAATCGTTCTAGATACTTTTCAAGTATCGTTCAGAGAGTAATAGAGTAAGTTAAGGTATGAAGAAAGAGAGAGAGAGCGAGAGAGAGAGAGAGAGACGCTATTCATAAATTATTTGCTCGTTATTTTGCAGGGTTGCGAAACTCCGCAAAGAAACACACAAATATCGAAATAGTTTTACAACTGCAACGTTTTCTCGATCAACGTTCCATGTTCTTTCTCTATTATGGGAACGATAGAGAAAGTAAACGTACGATTAAAGTAAAAATAAAGGTTATTCAACGGCATAGAACCAAGTGTCTGCGATCGATCGAGTCTTGGTTGAAAGTTTCAGGGATATAAAGTCGTGGACTCGAGACGTTGTAAAAGTTTTTGGTTTGTTTTCGGTGTACAAACAGCCACCGAGAGATATTTTACGGCGTCGGTTGTACGAGTGGGATGGAGAAAACGAATTTTCGAAAGTGAAAAGTCTGGGAAACTGAAAGAAGCTTTTCTTCGAATTTCCTCTAGGAACCGAACCGTCGTCTCTCGAACCGTCCTCGTGGTTGTTCGTTCAGAGATAATTATGGTCGAGGTGGTCTGGGTTTATACGAGAAAATAGCGAAACGTTGCATAGTTTGGGGTTGGGAAACGTTTAACGGTATCGAGTAACTATATCGTTTCGTCAATTGTGCGAGATTTCAGATGGCAACATGTGATGAATTCGTCGTCGAATTTAGACAATGCGGTTCACCGTGTAGCGTTCCTTGCGGAATCGCGCGAATCGACAAGAGAAAATTGAGAAACAAGAAGAGAGACACATAGAAAGCTGACATGCGTCTGTAGAGCGTCGGCACAGCGAAACGTTTACTGGATAAAAGGCCTTTCGACGTTTCATTTTTCGGTTGTATTTTATGCGAATCGGGTCGCGATACTCACGTAATTTAGTTAACTCGAAGTAACGAGAGAGCTTTTCAAAGTTATTCTTCGTTTTATTTTTCTTTCGTGTCGCGATCATCTTGTTTCGGAACTGGCAGGATAAGCCGTCGATGAATATTCCGAATAGTCGAGTATGATGTGCGGAACGCGTGTTAAGAAAATCTCAAGTGTGACAAAGAAATCGGAGAGTATAGCCGTTACCTTAAAAGCTCTGAATCGTTCGAAAGAGATTCGTGAAAGTTCGATGATGGTCGAGAAGATATAAGAATAGATCACTATCGAGAACGAGGAACGAGGAACGATATCGAACAAAAAAGGACCGTATCGTTTCTTATCAATTCGTACCTTCCTCTTGTTTGTATAAAAAAAACAGGTTTATGCCTTCCGCGTCCATCGCAGAATCATTTCGCTTTATACGTATACCAAATCGGATCGATACCACCGCGCACGTTTTTTTATTTATTATCAAGGAATTGTTCTCACAATCAGTCTCTTCGAAACGTACATGTTACGTATCAAGGGCGTGAAAACGTTTTCAACGAAACGCTATTGTCCGATCAAATTATTACTTGCCATCTTCTTTTAGATTTCTTACTTCCTTTCTTCTTTTCTTATATGTATAAAGCTTGCGTTGTTTGCCGGCAGTCGATGCTCTGTCCATCCCGTCCACCCTCGTTCACGCCAAACTGTTTTGACCACCATCGGCGAACAAACACGGTGAAACCGGTGGATCGTTCCAAGAAAGGATGCAACAATATATATATATATCGCTCGATCGTGTCCATTGGTAACACCTGAAAGTTCTTTCGCAAGAACCGATCGAACCGTACAAGTTCCGTAGACCTTGTCCTTTCCAAACTATCGTTCACGAACAAATGCGTAAGTACGTTGTTTTTTTTTTGTTTCTTTTTTTTTCCGTTCGCTAATCCGATTAACCTACTTGTATAATTATAACACTCGATAGAAACGCATCGTATAAACGTGAAAGAAAGGCATTTTGTTTATCTTATTTTTGGATTTAAACGCGAAAATCAGTTCTGTTCGATCTGGTCGTTGAGTTTATTTTTCTAACGACGCGCACGATAGTGTCGAGTAACATGTTTTTCTTTCGTCGATATTTTTTTTTTCTCGTAGACGTATAATTCTTGTTCGCTTTTTATTAACGTACCCTAACTAAAGTGTTTCTAAGAAATGCTCAGGTGTTACGCGTCTCGCTATATCGCGGTCGAGCTACGTCTGAGGAAAAAAATTCAAATTTTTGGACGGAAGGGAGAGCAAGGGCCGCCGGTTATTTTTATTCTTCCGGTATCTCGTTCTCTTTATTGGCCAACCTGTGGCCGTTTTTTTCCCTATTGCCTCTCAGTCTCTTGACGCTAGTTTCTCCTGGCCCTCGATCCTTGTTATAACTACCTTGTTTTCTTTTTCTTTTCTAAATACAAACAGTCAATGATAACAATAATAAGAACAATGACCGTAGTAATAAACTATGTGAATAAGTAATAACTGCAATGATAATATTAATGACTCCCCCGTCTTATCTCTTTGTTATTAAACAGTCGTCGAACGAACTAGCGACTACGTAACTCTGCTATCGGTAGTTTCTTTTTTTTCTCATTTTACCGCTATTCGAAAATTGGCTAAAAACTTAGTTACTATCTTTTTTCACGCCTTTTTTTTCTATACTTATATATCTGTATATATTATGACGCACGCGCCCTTTGACTGCTCGCGTTTCACCAATTTCATGGCGTTCGTACGATATTCGAAAAGACTCGATCTCGTTCTTCTTTTTTCCCGAATTGTAGTTACGGTGCAAACAAAATTATTGCATGCCCGTAGTATTCGTGGTCTCGTTTCGTTCGCCGTTTCGTTTTCTGCCGGACATCGGTCGTTGTTGTATCTGATCTGGTTGCATTTGCTTTCGTCGATCGTCGTCCATTTTTCCTAAACGTTCTCCATGTTGTTCGTTTGTTAAACCTTTGGTTCGAATCTTTCCTGAATCGTGTATTCACATTCGATTTGTTTCGTCAACGAACTCTTAAACGTCTTAAAATTCGAGACGGTACTCGGTTTCTCACGATTCTTTTTCATTCGCTTCGATCGGGTATCTCCGAGGACCGGAATTACGAAGCTTGAAGTTTGCAAAGTCGTCCGATCGTGTCATTGAAGTTTCTGACTCGCAAGTTTCTTTTGGTTTTCCAATGTTGTTCAATTTTGATATACAGGCTGATGTTTTGCGTGCTCGGCTTTTCGTTCGCCACTCTTTCAAGACTCGTTCGGTCAACTAATAAAACCCTATCGACCATGAATTCTCTAATTCAGCACCGTGGATCCGTTCTCGATGTGAACAACAACGACGACGACGACGACGCCCACGCCAGCTCTTCTCCCGACAGCCACGCTAGCTTCTCCGTACTTTTGTTCGTCGTCGATATCGATTCATTTTTCGGCTTTTCCGAACGACGAGTTCGTTCCTCGAGATCATTCTTTGTACACTGTAGAAAACCCTCAACGAGATCGACTGTTCGATTATCGAGACCAACGATGATGAAGGGTGTTTCTTGCGGTGTCTCGAGTGTCGTCGCTTTCGTTTAGAGTTTAAGCGACGATTGATCAATCGGAATCTTGAATCGATTTACGCTCGAGCAACGCAACGATAACGATAACGACAACGACAACGATGACAACGACAACGACGACGACGACGACGACGACCACGATGCGTCGGCGTCGGCGGCGGTGGCGGCGGCGGTGGTGACGAGGTTGCTAGTTTTTCGTATCGTTGTTTCTCTCATTAGCTTGTTTAACGCGTCGAGTCTCACTCGTTCCCTTCCTCGTGATATCGTAAAGGCTGAGAGGCGGATGCGGCCCTGGCAACACATGGTGCCACTCTTCTTACCGACCGCTTTGAAGGTGCAGGCCGGCTTATTGAAGGTCGCATCTAGCTTCCACTGCTTCTTTGATCTCTTGTATATGAGTGTCTATCGTGTTCCTGAATTCTGGAACAAACAAACGCAAATGTGCCTTGCTTATTTTCGCGAGAAATATCTATGGCGTGTCAAAGTTTCAACGATTATTATTTAAACGCGTTAATTTTTGTATCAGTTACGCGTGCCATCGTTTCTCGATTGTACAACAACTAATTCTAGTTTAAGGGAAATAAAGCAAAGCGTATATACGTACTGGTAATCTCATCCTCGTCTTCCGCTTCAGCTTCCGCGGCCAACTCTTCTGGCGTTTTTTTCTTACGCATCAAAGGATTTGGTTCTTCCTGGGTCAGTTCCTGTACTTCTTCCCGTTTTTTTATGTTATACTGCAATAGTATAACGAAAACGATGTTAGTAAGAGAGACCTACATAAAGAACAAAGAATTCGCGACGCGGTGCTCGATAAATAAGATTCCTTCCTTATGAAAAATCTGGAATCTTACTGGATAAATTGCTTCTTTATCGACTCGTCGTATTTGTAGAATTTAAAATAAAAAATTGCAGGGATATCGTCAGTCGTCACGCTTACGCTTACTCTTTCACCTTGTTATTTTCTTTCGAGGAATTGGTTTTGCATCCTAGGGAGAATGGCGGCTGCGCGACACGTGTAGGAGCGCAGAATCGTTATGCCGTTGCTCGCGAGACGCGGGACGTGCGACGTGCGACGACGGAACTGCTCGAACCTCTGCTCCGCTCCGAATAAAGATGGGTAACCACGTCCATCCACGGACCATTGTTATTTCATAAAAATTCGTACGATCCAAGCTGGTAAGTAAGTAGGTTAACATAGTCTACGTTAGATCTCTCGGTCCGTTGTGCGGTCAGCCGTCAAAAGTATAATGATTCTGCGCACTTGTGTCGCGCAACCGCCAAGCGCTTTAGTTTGCGAAACCCGGAAACGGGTTGAGATGGAGGAGGGATAGCGCCAAACTGACCATTTCCCCTCGTTTGCCACGAATTTCTGTAAGCTGGTATACATACGCGTGCAATACCCTCCCGAAAGATTAATTACTCCATCCATGATCGGGTTCGCCAAGTTACTCGTTACTACGTCTAACGTAATCGTCGTGGAAATTGTCTTTTCATTCGCGTTCTCTCGCGTTTAATATTTTTTGCTCGATAGTTGCAGCTATTTTCGCGGAATCGGCTTAAAATCGAAACGATTGATGTTGTCCGGAACAACAACGCGCAATTACTAGGCAGTAATCGAGGTATATGTAGCTCGGAAATCGTATCATCGAATCCGTCCGATCATTTTCAAGATCTGAAACACGAAATCGGTAGGTAACTGGCGAGGGCGCGGCGTACACGCGAGTCCAGTGTTCTCTATTTACGCTAGATTCTCTAGGTCTAGTCGCATCGAGCCGCAATGACGGTCGCCCGCGCCGCGCCGCGCCGCGCCGCGGTGCACACGCTTACGCTTACGAGGCCGAGGCAACTACACGCACCGGGTACCTCCGATGCTTTGTATCCTCGGCACTCTTGTCGCGAGACAATGAGCCCGATTGCGGTACAAGCTCGACACGTGATCGGTTGTACGAGTGCTGCTTCCATCCTGTGGCATTGTAACCGCCTACAAAATGCGGCCGTACACCGCGTATCACGGCCATACCTCTACAAATGCAAACGCTATACCTACCGATACCGATTCTCTGTCCCGCAAAGCCCTTCCTCGTATTTCGTTGTTATCGTTTCGTTTTTCTTTTTGCAACGGTATTTCGCGTTTTGTTCCGATACCCGTGCGTCGCCGTCGCGTCCTCCTGTTTGTTCACCCACCATACGAGAGACCAGACTAGTCTCTTCCATTCTCTACCCTCGATTTGGTAGTCTCTGTCGCGAAAAATTACCAGTGTAAACTTTCGGTGGTCGTTGGAGTTTCGCGTCAATTGTTCACTCGGTTTGGATATTTCCAAAGGACGCCGCGACCTATGTATAGCTGTCCTCGCGTGTCTCGCAATGACCAATTTCATCAATTTACGCGAACAAAAGTACAAAAGAGACGTTTTTCGGAAAAACGGTAATCCGTTTAATGCTTAAAGTGGACATTACAAAGTAAAATTACGACAACGTTAAAGCTACATTGCGAGATTTATATATTTACAATTGAAGCGAATTATCAATAACAGGGAAAGAGAGAAAGAAACAAAGTTTCTCTTTGTTTCTCCGGTATTCTGTTCCATTAGCGTGGCACGCGTCGCAACGGGTGTGAGCGATAGCGCGATGCAATACGGTGCGGTTGAGCCGCGAGTGAAGGAGACAGATAGCGAGAGGATAAACGAGGCCCGTACATCCCAACGATGTCAAATGTGATGCACTGATCCTGACGCTAACTAATGCTTCTCGACACGCGTAACGCTCCGCTGCGATATAATGCAGCGTGCGCGTGATCGCGACGCATTCACGCGTATCTACAACGTTTTTTTAATTATCGGTTCGTCGTCGGCGTCGGCGTCGTCGGTCGTGCGTTGTTTAGTTCCAGAAGTTGAGCAGTTATGGCTAGCGGACATACACGAGAGGTGTATAATTGCAACGCATTCGCGCGCAACCCGTTCGCCCCGAGAAATCTTCAAACGCTTTTTCGCATTTCACGGTGTTAAGCGCGTGTGAGTGTTCGTTTACGTATATGTAAATGTACGGATGATACGTGCACGCGCGGCCCAGTCGACGCGTCGGATCTGCAAACCACGTCGCACTGCGACATTTTTGGCGAGACCGTTTTGACAAATAAAATATCGTTTCTTTATTCGTTTCTCGAGCTGGAGTTATTCGACAAGTTAAGGACTTTTAACGACGCTACTTTTTTAATAGTCGCCGATGCAACGTAAACGTCGTGCGTTGATATTTTTCGACTATCCTGTTACGCTATTATTTAGTATTCGCATAGTTTTCTCGTCGCTTGCAATCGGCTCAATTATCGGCTGACTCCGCGAAAGCATCGCTAGCCGCGTAAAGCAGCAAACGTGGTTATTCGTAAATCCCAGAATGAAAATGGGAAGAAAATTCTGTCCGCATTGAAAAATATTATCGTTATCGAATACGAATGAAATCCTTGCTTTCGAATCTTGCGTTGTTCCGTATTCGTGGATAAGTTGTTTTTTTTTCGTCGTTTAATTTTGTTCTTTTTGTTGTATTTATCGACGAGCTTCTTTTCGAGACTCGATCGTCTTTGTTCATTTTTGTATCCTGGATCGTCTTTTCGTTGCGATTTAACGTTTCAAAAAGTTTCGAACAAAACGGACGTCGGCGTCGTATCGTGTTCGATTTCAGTTTTCATCGAATCACGATTATTTTTGACGATCAGCAAATATTTTTGGCGTGCAATTTTCATCGTGTGGAAATTAAAGTTAAACAAAGAAGGAGGTGGACGATGCGTTTACCCGTAACAACCTTTTTCACGAGTCTCTTTTTTCCCCCAACAGAATGACCGTTTGACTTTTTTATTGGTAGCTCGCAACGAAAAAATACTACTATTTCGAATCGACGGTAGACTGTTCGCTGCTTTACCCGTTCACAATATTCGATTAATATCGGTTCGGTGCAATTAAAGAAATTCAATTAATTTGGATACACCAATTACATGGATTAATTTTCTAATTGGGCGTACGTGACTGAATTAGCATTAAAATGTTCAATTTCGGTCGACGCGTTCGACGAAGCGCGAATTCATATAATCGACGTTCGTTGTAATCTTTGACGACAGAGTATTGGTAGGTATATACGTATATATAAACGGTGAGTCGTTGTTAAATCGGCATCGCGTTTGTAGTACGAGCGAACAACTTAATTGTGAATTTGATCGAAGCGCGACATCGGTCGTACGTTTCTGGGTTCTTGCTTACACGACTCGCCTAACGTTTAAAACACCATTAATTGGTAATTCCGTTGAGAGGACGTATTCTTGAGTATTCTCCCGATGGTCCGGTGAACGTCTTAAAAGGAGTCAGCCTGACTCTATTAGGAAGTCGCCATATTGAATGCAGGGACTCCCTACTAGAGTCAATTTGACCCCAGTTAAGTTCAATCTTCTCCCTTCGGTTGTTTTGCGAGCTTACGACCGCGACGCGACGGTTGCGGCAGTTGGACTTTCGTTTCTTCTTCTCTTCCTTTAGGATAGCCCGCTGACCTCTGTTGATCGTTTCGAATCGTTCGTTGTCTATCCTGTTGTCGATACTTTCATCTTTTCCTTCTTCTTCGTCTCTTCGTCTTCTTTTTCCTTCGCGTTGTCGTCGTCTTTGACGCTATCCACTTCGAGACGCTACTCGTGCTAAACGCAATATCGATCGGACGACGGATTTTAATTATCACCGTGGAAAGCTAATTAGCCTGACGCGTATTTAAACTATCGAACGACGTTTAAGCGTGAGATAGCCCCGATTCGAACAAGAAAGTTGGAGTTACTCGTCTGGCAGGTGATTTAAAAACGAGCTACGTATCCTTGACTTTCCGTTGTGTCGATTCCATGGTTGGCGGCCACCTCCGTTTTCGTTTCTCAGTATTTCCATGCTGTTTTATCGACATCAGTCAGTCAGTCAGTCAGTCAGTAAGTCAGTCAGTCAGTCAGTCTACCGTAGAGACATCGCAGTTTCCGCGGGTCATGAATTTGTGAAATTGGAAACTTGTCCGTTTCCCTTCAGTCTATTTTACACTTTTCTCGTTTGTTCTTTGTCTGTTTCAGGCTCCCGCCCATATTCCCGTGGATCTCTGACGGAGAAAAGCAACCGGCTTTCGGATATCGAGAATGTTGACGGGTTACGTGTCGATAGTCGAACGCGTTATTTCTTTTATATCGAACTCACGCAATATAGGTACGAGCCTATTTGAATTTTACGACGACATACGTCAAGGTACGATCGAAAAAACGCGGAAGAACGTTGAGACGGTTTTCTAGCATTCGCTTCGTCTAGTGACTGTTGGAAGAAAACGACGCCGATGGCGACCGCAAAGAATTCTCGGGCGTCACGTCGTTTTTTGTTCCTTGTACTCGATGAACGCGTTGCGGTTAAAGTTCACCGAACTATGAGCACTACGAGCACGACTACAGGAGCACAGAAGCATCGGTTCCTCGCGGAGAGTAGATAGAAGGAACATCTGGTTCTCGGAGACTCGAGAATGTACATGATAAAATACAGAGTCGCTAGGATAGCAACGTCGATGGGGATTGGTCACGACAACGTGCAATAATGTCGTTCCTTGGGCAATTTCTCGGGAAGAGCAGGAAGGTAACGTCGCGGTGGAACAAAGTGCCGGAGATGGCACGAGCCAACATTTTCTCTCCGAATCGAAAACCGTGCGATGTTAGATCGATCGAGGAAAAGCGGCGACCTCG